GGGCGCGCTCTGCGGAGCCCTGTCTCCCGAGGGGTCCTGCAGATGCCCGTAAACCCTCTTTGCACTCTGTAAAGCCGGAGGGCCAGGACGGCATCCCCGCCTGTGTCTCCGAGGTTCAGTCACCTTGGACAGGGAATTCAGATCAGTCTCTCTGCATAGTTTGTGGCAGGTTTTGAATCTTTCGTACTATACTGACGTTTCCTTTGTTGCCGGGAAGATCGTCCTTTCCTTCATCTTTTTTTTTTTTCCCAGAACATTTCCTGCATGCTGATTTTTATCAGCTTTTAAGCCTAGATCCCGTGTGTTTTTTATTTTAGAATCTGATGTTGTTTTCTTTAAAAGAACAAGGATTTGTGCATTTGTCTTTTTACTAATGATGTAACTGTATGAACAATTTATTTCAGCCTGTTGATAAGGACCCGCATGTTCTGATGAGTGGAGCAGGGAGAGATGATAGGAAGAGGGCTGCTCTTTGATCTTGTGTCCCAGAGAAACCCAAATCTCCTTGTCAGGAAAAGAAGCCATCCTTGTTACAAACAGATGAAACTAACTTAACTACCTTTTACTAAACTTATAATTTCCAAGCAAACCAGAGGTATAGAATAGAGAAAAGGGGTCTTGGGGTAAAGGCTTCTTTCATAAATTCTTGCAAAGGGTTTAAAAAAATCTTCTTCGTCTGTCTTGCATCTTCCATGCCTAGTATTTGGTGCATGTAAGAGGACTGAACTGGTTCAAATGGAGTCATATTTCCTTTATTCTGATGAAGTAGAGTATTAAAAATGTTGGCTATTAGGGACTGATGACTGGCCATTCCCTCTGACCAGACTATTCCTATGGTCTGTTAGAATTGCTTCTAGTTACCTAGTCTAGAACCTGGCCTTTCCTACATGGTCCAGAGGAGAGGAACGAGTCACTTCCCAAAGTGCAGCATTCAGGAACTCCCTAGATGACTTCACCGTTCCTCCTGTAGCTAATTGTGATGATCTTCCTGCCTATGGCTACATAAAATAGTTGGTTCTTTCCTCTTACAATTCCACCTAGCAGCAGTGCTGCAGTAATGAGCCCTTCTTCAGGGGCTTAAAGTTAAGTAAAATAATCTTAATTTTAAATATTTAAGTATGTGTTTCTTAAGTCCTGCCTCATGTTAACAGATCCTATGCAATGTGTAAGATGTTAGATTCTCTCTGCCCGTATAGAAATGAGATAACAAAAACTATTCTGAAGAAACTGCTGATGGAAAGAAAGGTCTTTTGGGAACTAAGCACAGTCCATTACATTCTTCGTTAAAGAAAAATGTTTAATATCTCTTTATAATATAAAAATTGTTTCCTGAAATATTATACCTAGAAAACATTAATTCTTAGTTAATTGATGGATGATTACTTAAGAATCATCTGCCATTTCTGTCCCGTACTCCTTTTAGAGGTTCAAATAACAGTTTTACTTTTAATTAGGCTGGTAAACATGAAATCTGTATGGATTTTTCTGAAGGACTTCACTAGTCAAATAATGTTTTGACAGACCTAAGCCTTTTTTTTGCTGTATTTTGAAGCCAAAAAAATTGTTGATTTGATAAAATCATAAAGGAGAGCTAGCTGTCATCCTTCCTAATGACTCTTTTGTAGATTTTTATTCATACGGGATTTGATGCACTCTATTATAAGACTTCCGGTTAAAAGCAATATACATGTATATTGCTAGTACTTTGACCTTTTAAAATGAGCCTTTTGCCCAAACTGTAAAGAAAGGAACTGTGAGGATACCCATTGAGTCAAGGACTTCCTGTAGCAAACACTGCAGTATTCAATTGTGAGATAAATGCTTTTATGAGTGCCATTCATTACCCAGAGACTGCTGTGGAGAAGTATGGTACAGGAGGACACAGCCCTGATGGTAAACCCTGTCCCAGCTGCTAGTGAGATTCAGGCACTCTCAGCAGACTACCATACTTGGACCACATTCAAGCCATCCAACTTCCATATGTGCCGGCAAGAA